TAGTTAGTTAAAATTTAAACTAACTAAAAACGAAATTTTTTTATTATTAGTACAAAAAAAAAAAAAACGTAGATCATCAATTTATCGTCCCCCAGTGGCACAGCGGTATGTCTGCGGACTTACAACGCTAGAATCCTGGTTTCCATACCCGTGGTGGGAAGAGCACATATAGCCCATTGTGTAGCTTTGTGCTTAATTACAAACAAACATCAATTTTTCTGTATCATCACATGGCCATGTGGTTAAGGCGCTCGACTCGCAATCTGAGGGTCGCGGGTTCGAATCCCCGTCACACCAAACATGCTCGCCCTTTCAGCCGTGGGGGCGTTATAATGTGACGGTCAATCCCACTATTCGTTGGTAAAAGAGTAGCCCAAGAGTTGGCGGTGGGTGGTGATGACTAGCTGCCTTCCCTCTGGTCTTACACTGCTAAATTAGGGACGGCTAGCGCAGATAGACCTCGTGTAGCTTTGCGTGAAATCCATAACAAACAAACTGTATCATCAAAATTATTTTAAAAGTTAGTTTTCAGAGTATAGTTTATGCCGTTTCATGCTAATAAAAATATATTGCATTTTTTATATTTTATCGAAATGTACATGTAATAAGCGTGTTTGAACATGTTTTGTTTTTTATTTGAGTTTCGAATAGGTTTGATTACAGATTCAATGTTTTGTTGAGTTCTGAGAATTTAAAAAGTGAAAAACATGGATGATAAATTCAAACCTCCGAGGTGGGGGGGGGGGAGTACTCACAATAACAATATTTCGGGAGATGTTTTTAAGCTGTAAAAGAAGTTTAGAAAGAGCTTATCTTAGTGGCCAAATGTTCGATTTTATAGAGAGTGATTTTGTTCGGGATACTGCAGTGGTTGGAGGAGAAAGAAAATAAACAAGAAGAGAGACTACAACAGTTGAGAGAAAGCCAGTATACACAAATGGAAAAGATTAGTAAATTTCAAAGGGAATTAAATACATTAAAGGACGATTTACTGTATTTTACAAGCAGATATGTAACAGTATATATTCTCCAGATATCACTGGAAAATATCACTGCCTACCTTTATATAGTGTACTTTATTTTACAAAAATATTTCACACGAGAAAGAACAGAAATTACCCACAACAATAGATAACTAGAATGGAAGGAACTTACCCAAACTTCTTGCCCAATGTGACATTATTAAAACTAAACGAGCAGCAAAAAATGGGAACGTGTGAAAAGTTTTAAAAATTATTCGTGAACTAAAATATTCCTCTTAATAACTAAAGAAGTTAAGATGTGTTAGATAAGCATCTGCATAATATGTATGTCAGAGATGATATATAAAATTTGGAAGATCTGAAAAAGACCATTAGAAATGATATTGCGAAACTCAGTGAACACCATCCAGAACAGATTGTGCTTGCAGTAGCTTTATTTAGAGATAAACTTGATATGTTGCAATAGTTTTAAAACGTCCATAGGAAATATATAAAAAAAAAAGAAAAAACGAAACAACAAAAAAGGCGCCAGGCAAAAAATGATGAAATGATTTGTTGTTAACATCTTATATTGTATTGTTATGAAGATATACTGTTATACTGAAATAGTTTGCTATGAGATTGTTTCTGTGATTACGATTAATTAATACAAGTAAAAAGAATTAAATTTAAAAAGTGTTTCATTTGATCCGATAATATTCTGAAATATTCCCTGGTGGGTCAGCAATATGTTTACGGACTTACAACGCTAAAATTGAAATTCAATTCCCTGTGGTGGACAAAGCAGAGAACCCATTGTGGCTTTGCTGTAAAACAAACAAACAAATAGACAACTCTGAAATACGCTGTGCTAGATTCAACTTTCCCAAAATATATAAATTTTGATTCTCGAAATTCCTCTAGTGAAATTTAGTTATCGTAGAACAATTATTTTGAATATGAGGTTTTATTTTTTATAATCATCAGGTATTTTCAAACTTTGTCGTACATCTGTATTGATGTATGTATTTATTTATAATTTACCAGAATTTTGTATTTGAGATTTGTTGAACATTCTGGATATATTTGATATTTATTGTAAAATAATTATATATATATATATATAAGAGTGAGCTATGAAGCGACAGCTGTTGGCTGATGAAATATCAAAATGGAGGGAAATATACAGGAACAAGATGAGCTCATCAAATATTTTTGTTCAATTACTGATGTAGATTGTGATCGAGCGAAACTTTATCTAGAAGCAGCTGCCTGGAATTTAGATGTAAGGTTTCATATATATATTTAAAATATTTAAGACATTGTAAAGTTCCATCTGAATTAGTTTGTTAATATGCATAAAAATATAGATAATAGTATTAGTTAGTCTTAGTTAATTTTTAGTATTGAAAGTACCGGTTTTCATCTCTACTTTGGCCTATCGCGAAATGGTTATAGACTAACCTTAGTATAATATTATAGTGTATACCTCTACCACTGTACCAGAGATGCCAGGGTTGATTAATTACTACTAGTAGTAATACTAATAGTAATAGTGAAATTTGTGTGTATGGGTAATGCTAGTACTACTACTAATAGACAAAGGCGTTAATGATTTAATTTGCAACGTTGCTGCAAAATATTTTTTTATAAAACGTAGCTGTGTGGTGCTTTCTGGAGGAGAATTTTTAAGGATTAAATGTTAATGAGAAACAGAAATACATATTAATAAAAAAATTATGATGCAAAGTGGTATTAGTGCACACATAGAAATCTTGAGAATCTACAGACAGATCATTTTATTTAATCTCGGATGTTACAAGCAAATAATGAAAGTGTCTTGTTTAGAAATGCTTACATTTTCATTTAGAAGGGATTGGCTGAAAATAATAAAGCCACTAGGAGAGAGAGAGAGTTGAGTTTACTGTTTAAGTTACTTTTCATTGATGAAAAGACTGTACTGAGTTGACTGATTGAACATAAAATATGCGAGATTTGCACTCTGAGCCATGAAGGTGTGGAAAGGGAGCAGATTTGGGAGAGACATAATCCTTCTCTCTGACACATATTTTCTAGTAGCTATTATTATAATAGTTTTTTGTATGTTTAATATATTTATTTTATACATTTTTTGTTGGAGGAAATGTGTTCTTTTATTTTAATATTTTATTTTTTCCAGCAGCTGCATGAAGAATGATATTTAATAACAGTTTTTCTAGAAAAAAACAGTCAAAGACACTTTCCTGAACATGTGTGGCTAAAAAAGTGGATACTATTTTTTTTTATAATTTTGAAATGATAAGATGGCTGTGTCTCAATTTTTCAAGAACAACCACAGGTATTTTGATCAGTAATCCATCATTAAGGTTATCAACTCAATGTATCTGTACTTATCTTAATCCAATTCAGCCAATGACATTTTACTAATATGAGCTATTGATCTAACCAGTCTTGTTTAAAAAATTTGTTTGTTTGTTATGAATTTCGCACTAAGCTACATCAGGGCTATCTGCATTAGTCATCTCTAATTTAGCAGTGAAAGACTAGAGGGTTTAAAAAAATTCTGTTTGGTAACGAAATGCTACATCATGGTGTATATTGATTGTAGTAAAATTGAATATGTTGGCGTTATGTTCGTAAAATAATTAAAACGACAGTTTGGCTAGAACATCATAAATAATAATATCTGCTTTAATTTTTTTATGTTCCATCAAAAACATATCAAACTTCTCCTCATAACTTACATTTGTAAACACAGCACTCCCATTTGTTTTACACTTTAAAGTAAATTATTTCCTGTGATTCTGTGCATCTTCATGATTTCACATTATTTTAACATGTCTTAGTATGAGCTCTCTCTTTAGAATGTAATGTCATTAGCATTTTTAAACAATTTATAACCCATAATGCAACCAGTCTCATTTTTATCAGTGTTGAGCAACAGCAGATCTTACTTGTAGTCTGCTGGCAATTTTCACATTTTATACGGTATTTATTCAGTCTGAAAAATGATTTCTTATTATATTTTACTTTTATTTGGTCAAAATCATTTTTAATTCACTTTTAAATTTTTTTTTCTAATCATTGTAATAAACATTTTGTGTAGAACTAGATCAAAAGCTTTCTGAAGAATAAGATACATTTAAAAAAGTTCTTATCCAAAAAGAAAAGCAGTGATCTACCAAAATTGAATAACTGAGGAAAACTAATAAGACAAAAAGCCAACAGTATACAATCATGCCAAGTACTGCTTATAAAGTTTAAGTTTAATTGCTTAACATCCTATCAACCAATATCAAATTATTAGTCCAATGACTCCTTAAGTTATCCCAAAAATTTGATATTTTTTAGTTTGAAATACATCTTAGTTACTAAGATAGATAAATTATAGTGGAATTCTATGGTATTAATGTTTTAATTTATGATTGTTATTCAAATGCATATATAAAACATTAAAATATATTTTGTTTCATATCCTCCATGTGCAATTCTTTTAAAGGCTTAGCAACCTACATAAAGCAGCAACCTAGTACAAAGGTCATAACTAGAAGAGATAATTGTTTGCTTTAATTCTTTATTTACTGTTCTATGTTTTAAGAAAATTAAGTTTAAGAGCTTATTTCAAAATAGCAATAATCTATATACATATATAATGTATAATAATTGAAATGTGACTGTATTTTACAAAATACTAGTTACTAAAATAAGCCAGGACAGGTCACTTTGCACAGACTAAAGGTCAGTTTTATGTTATTTGATATGATAACATGAGTGCACATGAGCTGTATTGCTAGCCAGGCACAGCAGAAAGGTCAATATAATAAATATATATAAATGTATAATATTATGATATTTTAGCTATTTAGTCTAAACTTGATGATGACAAAACCTTGTCGAAACGTTGTACATTTGCTGTTATGTTAAACTTATATTAAAGTTTTTCTTTATTACCCATTCAAGCCGTCTCCAGCCATTATTAGTCTCAAAGTGGGTTCCTCGTCATCGAATTTATGTTTTTGTGTTCATTCTATAATGGAAGATGCGTAATTTATATTTATTTACTAATTTTTTTACGGTGGTTGCGAGATCGGTCAAATCTACTGAACCTTACAGAGATTAATTACTGAAAATAACAGATAAAATATAAAGTTTTTTCTTAAAAAATGTTTGATAACTATCTGGACATTATAAAGATTTTGCATGTGAAATTTCAAACTTTTCTGATGCACAAAAGTATTTTTAATCTTAAAATTAATATTACTTTGCTTGATAGATAGGCAACATGCGAAAAGAAAAAAAAAAGACATGAAAGAAACATTGCTTTATAAACCTTAAGACTTAATAAAAAATCTGATATTTTGAATATGAAAGCATTGTAATGTTTACTGATAATCTGCCAAATTTTGTTAACATTTGCTTATTAATTTAAAAGTTATAGCATGAAAACTATAACAAGCAGAAAATGGTTATGAGGTCAGTCCCAGGAACCAAGCCCATGCTCAAAGAGTTAATAACATTTTGCTTTTGCCTGTCCAACCACCTTACCATCTAATTACCTACTTTTCCTACTTCTGTGGATATGATTTTTTAAATAATCTTTTGTGTGACATCTTGCAAAATTCACCTTCTGAAAATTACCATGAAACAATTCTCTGCAGATATAGTCAGCCAGTAACAATAGTATAAAATCAGTAGCTATGTTTGAAGAAGTACTTCCCCAACAGATATAGTCAGACTGTAACAATACTATAAAATCAGTAGTTATGTTTGAAGGAGTACTTCCCCAACAGATATAGTCAGACTGTAACAATACTATAAAATCAGTAGTTATATTTGATGGAGTACTTCCCCAACGGATATAGTCAGCCAGTAACGATAGTATAAAATCAGGAGCTATGTTTGAAATGGTACTTCCTCAACGGATATAGTCAGCCAGTAACAATACTATGAAATACTACTAATTCTGTGATCACCTATCTCTCAATCGTCTCCAATTTCAGACGGTTGGTCGGGTTATAGCAAACGGAAATATTTTAAAGCCTGGCCTAACATGTTCTCACACTTCCTGATATTTAGCTGGATGTACTTTGGAGGTTCATCCATACCTTCCTTCTCATTTACTATATTTACCATTGCTAGTTTTGTCTCTTGGATACAACTTAATCAGAGAATGCCAAACCAGCAAGTTCCTCTTTGAGATATTTTAGATGTCTAGCAAATTTTGAAAGAGCACTATTCACCTTCTTATACTTAAAACATTGTAGGAAGTTAAGATCATTGCTAGGAGCAGAAGTTGTATCGGGAACATTGGACTGTGCTCTATGATTGATTCAAATAACAGAGATACAGATGTCATGAAGTCATCTTTCCTCATGGTCAGTGAGCTTAAACTGTCCCATAAATATGCAGACCTTGAGGGCATATAATGCTCTGGGCATTCATTGTGTATGATGTAGTATTCCAGATGCTATGAATTATACCCCACAAGGAAGGATGCCTCCAAGAAAGATTATGGCTAATTCAAGAAGCTCTTGATGATTCTCTTGAGATTGGCTGATCTGAAGTTCCCTTGTAACAAATGTAGTTGCACTGTCCTTAACTTCCTCTAATGGTTTTGCTACTTCATCGTAGTGAGCTGCAGTTTCATAACTGGACTGGTCTGTGTATTCCAAAAATAGCTAGCATTGGTTGAAAATTGCAATATATGGACCAGAGGAAAGCATCACACACATTCTTTGAAAACATATGTCAGGACTGGTCTAAGATATGATGCTGACATGCCAAGTACAGGAGATTTTTGTTTAATCTTTGTTCTGTCAGCACACATGTTCTGTTAGTGTTTGCTGTTGTTTCAAAGCATACTGCCTTTGTACAATCAATGACTCCCCAGTCTTCCAGTAAATGTGACACAGCAGAAGCTAAAGCCTCTCCAGTGCTAGAAATCAACTTTGAAACACCTGTGAGTTGGTTTACTTCTGCTCTAGATAGAATCATTGGCAGACAATCTAATTGTTCTATCCCTGTGAGATCACTAAGGAGCTTGCTTTCCCAGTGAGCTACAAGTGAGACTGTGTGATGGAACTATTTCTTTAAGTTATTGACATGTTCTTCACTAAAACAGTGCTGAGATCTTTGGATTCAAGAATGGTTGATGGTTAGCTCTGTCATATAATGACAAAGGCTGAGCTATGTCAGTAAGAAAAATGTTGCCTTTTGTCACTCAACTTGGTTCTGTCCATAGTTAGCTGCTAGTAAATCAAAAAATGTTGCCTTTTGTCACTCAACTTGGTTCTGTCCCTAGTTAGTTGCTAGTAAATCAAAAAATGTTGCCTTTTGTCACTCAACTTGGTTCTGTCCATAGTTAGTTGCTAGTAAATCAAAAAATGTTGCCTTTTGTCACTCAACTTGGTTCTGTCCATAGTTAGCTGCAAGTAAATAAAAAAATGTTGCCTTTTGTCACTCAACTTGGTTTTGTCCATAGTTAGTTGCTAGTAAATCAGAAGTGATACTATTTCTTCTCTCCCCACTTTTTTGGCTTAGAAGATGATGATTCCCCAATTGTTCTTCTATCCACAAACCTCATCATCATTGCTGTAGGATAGTTCCCAACAACTTACAGTTTCATGCTCTTCCTACTCTGCATGCTATTTCCTGTCCATACTTGCTTCACTTCTTTTTTTCCCTTGATTCCTTTAAAGAAAGAACTTTATCTACCTTCCTCATACATCCATGACATGATCTTTCCCCCTAAGCAAGAGCAAAGCCCTAGTCTTCCTGGATCTTGATCAGGGGCAGGACATTCCTATGAAAGATATCAAAAAGGTCATCCAGATTAATGACGTACTCTGTTGCATTAGCTCACTGTGTTTTAGTTTTTCTTTTTGAATTTTTCTTCAGCTTTGCCCATTTTTTGAAAAAGTTTACACACTTTGTTAGTGGTATGATGTACTGGATGAATTGGAATTTGATCCTTGTTCGAAAAACTGCTGCCTCTTTAATCATAACCTTTGAGCTTTCTTGAATTGTCTTTAATGTTTTGTGATGGTAGGAAACCCACACAGCACTTGCTTATTTGAAATATATTTAAGACGGTTGTGTGTTTATTTTATCATTATTATGTAAGTTTTTGTTAATACAAATTAGTGGATGTATATTTTATATTGCAAGCCAGTATCCTTTCTGAGTAACAGTTTCTCAAAGTATCAGTCTCCAAGTACTGAAATGCTAATAATAAGTGTAGTAGTGCTAACTGATTATATTTGGTAAAGTATCTTTTACTCGATGCCATTGCTAAGAGGTGAGCTTCCTTATACGAAACAGGTGTTAATAGGTCTCTTGTACCCATGTTAAGACCAGGGAGTGTTATTTTTTTAATTGTTATAATTGGGTTTATCTTGCAGATAATATTAAGATATCAAAAGTATGTAATTAATTAATTATAAAATTAAGAAAAGTAGCTTTCTTTCACTGTAACTTAATTTTAGAAGTTCAGTGACACATACATATTAATGTGAAATGGAAAAATGAACGTGTTAAAATCTTTTCATCTGGTTTAGTCAATTTGAAAATTATTATTGTTGATTTTAATTTTAGTGGCTTGTATTAAAAATTCATAATTAAGATATATAGTGTATTCAATAAATTATAATTCTGTAAAGAACTATTAAATGTTGTTAAGAAGTGAATCTGGTGTGGTACATCTAAGTCGACTACATCTATAATTTCCTAAGTGTGTTTTAATTGTGTCTATTCAGGTAACTATGTATAATAGAAACAAGGATTTAAGCCCATAACCCATAGGCATTATGACCTTAAATAAAAACTATTTCAATAATAGTATGCTGCAGTACAATATAATAATATTTAATATAAAAAACAAAAATCTTACCTTTTCCAATATTTTCTGGTATTGTTATCATTAATACATGTGTAATTCAGGCATTTTGTTGATTCGAAATAAATTGTTTGCATAATTCACACTAGAATATAGTTGTATACCAAATAATGACTTATTTTATACCCATGATAATCTAATTCTGACAAGTGAAGTGACATATACAGGTAAGTTTGTTATCCATTTGTACGTTAAGATATACTTAAGTATCCATGTGCTTGATTACCTAAATTTCATGTTCACCACCACATGATAGATCACCTAGAAAGAGTAATAGTTGAGTACATATAAAATGATAAACATAATCCAAGTAATTAAGTTTATTTTGTGAGTGATTATTTTATTATTGTTTAGTTTTTGTTATGATAAGAGTTTAAAAGCAGATTGTTGTGGGAAGTTGTGTTTATAATTCATTGATGTTGAGACTACTGAATGTCGCATGCAATAAATTGATGTAGAGAATATAGAGATTTCTAGAAGGCGAGTAGACGATTAAGTGATAAACATATGTATAGTGTGAAACAAGCGGAAACAGCAGAAGAGAGTAAAGTTACAGGCAAGGAAAAGTTTTGCGTGAAGTTAACTACCGTAGAAATAATAAGTATAATGTTTAATATGTTAGAGTAAGATTAACAGTAGAAAAGGAGATAAGATGAAGAATTTATTCCATCAAAGCGTGTTTCTAAAGTAATTGAATCAGCCAGAGTGCACTTTGACAAAAGGAACAGAAGATATTTTGAAGAAAGAAGACCAAATGATTATGGTAACTCATGCCTCAATTGTAAGCGAATCACACACAGAATACTAGTGCGATAGTAATAGAGAAGATAGGTCGGCTTGTCAACAGAAATTCTAAAGTAACTGAATAGGCCTAAGTGGACTTTTGACAAGAAGAGAACTATATATATAGTGTTTATGATATGCTTATAATCTCTATAGTGTGAAGAATTTGTTGTACATACGTTTAACTTGTTCTGTTTATATATATATATTATTTTGAAAACAAGTGAAGTGCATGCTGTTCAGTTATCATTGAATTTATCGCTGACAACTCAGACACCGACTGTAGAAGAATCCTAAGCCCAGCAACAACATAGTGTATATTTATACTATTAAAAAGTATAAGTAAAAGCCTTTTAATTGACAACTGGCAAACAGAACATAATTATAACATCTGACAAATGCCATCTGCTGTTATTGTTACCACTTCACCTTGTTGGGTTTTCCTTTCTTGGTCAGGTCAAGCAGTGGTACAGCATAGTTTGGAATGAACTTCATATATTATCCCACTAACCCCGAGGAAGGATCTGACTTGCTGCTTAGTCATCAGAGCTGGTGCATCTTGTATGCTGGTTACCTTCTCCTCTTCCATGGCTATCTGTCGATCTGCCACCTTGTGCCCAACAAAGTCCAACACCTAATAATCGAGGTAACCTGCTGCCCTCACTCACATAAACAACTCTCTTGAGTTTTGTCAGATGGTCTTCCCATCTGGCTGTGTGGGTCAGAATGTCGTCCACATAATGCTCAATGTTGATGGTTGCATTTCATCTGGGGTTGTACGAGGTGGTAAAGAGCTGCCTAATGCTGATGAGTCTGCACACCTCTTGCATTGGTTCTGAGGTAAATCCTACTCTGCATAATACTTCCAGGAGGGCTTCTGCTACTCTCTCTGTCTATATTTGGCAGTGCTATGGCTTCTGAGTAATGTTGCATAGTCAACTACAGTCATCATGTAGTGGTTGCCTTTGTCAGATACAGGTGATAATAGTTTGATCAAGTCCACAGCTATTCTGCCAAGTGGCTCTTCTATGAGAAGCATCTCATCCACCTTGGCCACCTTTCTTCTAGGTACTCCTTTCGCAGATGTCACATGACCTGCAGAATCTCGTCACATCTCCAATGACCCCTGGCCAGTGGAAGTTGCTGGTGATTCTGCCTGCCATCTTCTTTGCTCCTGAGTGTCCTCTCACAGTTGATGTGTGAGCCAACTTCATCACATCAGTCCAGTATTCTGTTACTACTATGATCTGTTTAACTAACCCAGCAGAACTGCCTTGATAGATTTGGTACAGCACTCCCTTCTGGTCCTCTATTCTGTAAGTCCCTTTCACTTGGTCTTGTGCTCAAATTTGTCCTGGGCATTGTTGCAGAGTGAAGGGTCTTTCTTCTATGCTTCCTTCAGTTCCTGTACACCTACATTTGGGATGTCACTTTTCACAAAAAATTTACAATTGCCAGCTCTAGAAGTTGTCTACAACATTAAATATAGGTTATTTCAAACAACAGTTTAGAAAAACCAAAGGTAACTGAACATAGGAATATTAATCTCGTGAGAATAATCAATTAGTTGAATGTAATTGATTAATGAGCCCAATGATTAATTGGTTAGCAAATTCCACTAATTGCTTGGCTGTTAATACTAAGTACTCTTAAAGAATTTTTAATGTCCTGTTCTTTAGAATAATTGTATTATCATTATTGCTTGAACCCCACCTCCTCTTTCTCGATGAATTAAGCATTGAATATATTTAACACTTGATATAATTAGAAAATGTTTTATTGTGTTATACTTTAACTTGTTGTCATGTAGTTTCTTTTAATATGCTTATCTCTTTCATTTGAAATAATAGTTGTATCAATATTCATAATTTTGACTCTTACCTGCATTCATTTTAAGCATTTTTTATTATTATTATTATTATTATTTAGTTTGCCCTTTCAAGTTTCTATGAAGAAACTGATGACCTAGGAGACCCAGTTGTGGTAGAACCAGATTATTTAAATAAAGAAACTGATGGCACTGGAAACACGGTTGTGGAAGAACCAGATGAGTTAAACAAAGAAATGTCATCCCAACCAACGTCTGCAGCAAGTGGATCCTCTTCATCTAGGTGCGGAAAGAAAGTTGTAGAATGTGTGTTTAGATCAGTAAAATTATGGTATATTTGAAGCCCATACTAACCTACTAAGAATATTTTTTAATGGAGATCAAGGAAATATATATATACTTTGATTTCTTTTAATGGTTCTTTAAACTGTTACAAAAACAAATGTTCCTTACTTGTCTTAAATTAGATACTTAAAATTTGTGAAGAAATCTTCAATAATGTCAGTGTAGTTGGAAATACTTTCTGGATAATATCTACTGTGTATATAAAACTATACAGCAGTGTTCTCATATTTCTGCTTATGGCACCTGCCCATAATGTTGATTACAGATTTCATTCAGTATGTATTGTGAATTGTGATCATCTAACAGTGTGACGATTGTCCATTTAATAATTCTAAATTCCGAAATACACTTACCTCTTACACTTTAGCTTCATCCTGATGAAAGTTTCTCTTCTTTGCCCATCTAAGCATTGGTATGAATCTTGCCTCACTTTCTCCAGCCTTTTATACCCCACTATATTGCCCATAGCAAGTTAAATCTTGTGATTTTTTCTCCACCCGTCTCCTATACTAGATCCGTATATAAGCTCTCCATTATGACTTCCTATTCACTTTTCTCAACAGTTAGGACGACAGTTTTACATGCTTGCTGCTGGTTTCTCTTACATGTTTTACAACTTTAATTATACCTACACTCTAAATGATTTATTTCTTACCCGTCTTATTGGGTTTTGTGTTTATTGTCTATTTTCCCAAAAAACAAATTCTGAGACATTTTGAGTATGAATTCTTTCATTTATGTCTGATCTGGAGTCTCCTAGTGCTACTACTCTGTTTGGGTGTGTCTCCTGTCACTTTGACAGGTTGGTTTTGTCAATTGGTGTGCATTGCTTACTTTGGACTTTCATTAGAGGAACAAAGAATTCTTTGGGTCTCATCTCATCAAACTTGCCATATCTCGATGTCCCTAGGAGCTCGATTGCATTACCTGCTGGAGGAGAATGTATAGGCTGGTATATGGACCATGCCTAAAACATTTATATTTCATTATCTAAATGATATGGTGGTTGCCTTCTCAGAAGGTTTTTGTCTACCCCCCCGTGGCTATTCTCCATGCCTTGGCTAGTTTGTCAGAGAGGTGAGTGACTTCATTTATTTTGTGTTTATTTCTATTGTTTTTCAGGGACCCTCTTGTCATTTTCATTTGGATCCCACTGTGGTGGGTGTTGCCCAGTCAAGTATGCTTATTTCCAAATCTACACTAGCTACCAGTCGACTGTTAAAAAGTTTTCTTAGTAGCAATGAGCTCTGTAGAGAGCTCTGTTCCATAAGACCACCTTCTGTGCTTTCAGGGTGGTAAACATTTATAAAACTATGAACAATACACCACTGGACCACCACCTGTGGACTATCATGAGCAAAGCTTAAGGGGATTTTGCTCATTCCTGCTGACCCCTAGATTGAATAAATTGGGGTCTGTTTGCTTTTCAGTATAGGGAATGTAGTACACCTATTGCATTGTCTCTGGAGCAGTGTTCCTTGGGACTCCCCATTTCTCCTCATTATTCCACTCAAGGTGAAGAGAGTGAAGCTGGATTCCCTCCTACCAATAACCCTGGATGGTCTTCCCAGATATATGACAGGAGCAGAACCAGCCTACACAGGAGTCTCCTCTTAGTTCTGGTTCAGAGATGACTCTTCACTATCTAGTTGTGTTTTCCATGGTTCTTTTGGGTCATTATCTTCAATTTGATGATCGTGAAAGAGGGTCCTTGGCTCCTTGTACTTCTGCACACAGAGTGTCAATTCCTGTGTCTTAGGTTGAACTTAGTTTGTTCCACATCCTCCTCATAATTCCAGGGGTCAGAATATCTTGCCTTGCCTCTCAGGTTGGAGAGTTTGGATTGCTGTTCATTATCCCAGGCCAGGTAATCTCTGTTTCTTCAGGTTGAGTGAGATGTGACAGGTCCTATAATTCTGAGTTCAGTTTGTTGCATTTTGTGCTTCTTCAGGTTGGGGTGAGGGTTAGTCCACTTTTGTGTTGCTTTCCTTCTCTTCATAATTCTGATAGCTCGAAATGTAACATTCTGTAACTTTCCTGTTAGATTCTAATTATACCCTTATAGTTCTGACTCAGCCACTATTCCTTGGATCTAGTTTTGGGTTCACTGCCCTATAATTCCAGTGAGGAGGTGTGGAACTTTGTCTTCCTGTTTTGGGCCTGGATGAATTCATGTTCTTCTAACAATTTTGCTTCTGTGGTCGGTCTGTCGTTATTTACTGTCCAGGCAAAGAGCATATCTGTTTCAGACCCCACTAGTTTACTATTACTATATCTCATTTTTGCACACCCCTTTTCGACATAGATGCTTTCCGTGTGGATCTTGTCCTCACTGGCCCCTCCACCTTGGGATTCTAGCTAAAGTGTGAACTGTGTGTTTTGGAAGTTAATATTTTCCTGTACCAAACATGTATTTCCAATAATACTTAACTACCCCCACCCTTCCTCCCCATGAAATGGCCGGTTTCAGGTCTGCTAATTTGGATCGTCTCTATGCTGGAATTGATCAGCCAAAAGCCATTTAAATAGTTTAATTGTTGCCGGATAAAGCACATTTGCGCATATTGGACAACAAATCTCATACCACGTCCAGTTAAAAACTACAGACTTAATTAGATTTCATGAAGTTACTTTATAAGGGTACAAAATATTAAATTTCTTTCACTAACTTGTAGTAAATAGTTTTCCTTTAAAAGTAGCTTATATAATTAAAAAAGACAATTACAGTATTTATTGAGTATCTCATTTTACTAATGGAAAAAACAATATAAGCTAAATAGATGTTTTTGAAAAATAAATATGTTGAACTTAAATGGCTTACACTGCAAATTTTAGTAATATAGATATGACGTACAAAATATTATTACTTGAGTTATGAAATTTCTCTTCCTGAATATAAATTGTATGCGATGTACCATACCCAGTATTTAGTGTTAGGCTTAACAGCACCGTTTTTATTTTTTAGATTTGTAACTCTGTCCAGTCTGATGAAGACAGAGAATGATGATGAAGGACAAGCTTTTTATGCTGGTGGGTCAGAGAGAAGGTGAGTGAATGAAGCTTTTTTTTTGTCTTTACATCTGAGACTTACTGTTCTGTTCAACTTGTATAATAACGTTTATACCATATAATTGTTACTATTTTATATGGTGAAATATTATACATAGGTTGGCCAAAAATTTGTAAGAACCTGGAAAAGTTAAGAAATTTTTAAAAGCCTCCTATATAGTCTGGGAACAGAAAATAATTATTATAAAACTTGTAATAAAAATCTAGGAAAATTCCAGAACTTGCACATGCACAAAAACCATGCTGCATAAATAATTATTGATACATTTTAACATAATCTTGGTTAGTCTGCGTGTTATTTTATCTGATGATAATTATCTAATTCATTATATTTATATTGATATATTTTAACATAATCTTGGTTAGTCTGCGTGTTATTTTATCTGATGATAATTATCTAATTCATTATATTTAATTATGACATATGATCCTTCAAGTTTACACCCACTCCTAAGAAAAGAGAAGTAGAAATTAAAACCACCGTTTATATTTCAGGGAATCATCAATTTCTCTCATAAAATCTTGTAAACTTTCAGCCTCCACTGCTGCTGGTGGCAACTCATACCACAAGCTTATCACACAAAATAAAACGGGGGGCCTTTTCCAAATTTTAAACTAATGTTATCTGATCCTGTTGATCTCTCCCAGGTAGTTTTGTAAACCTCAATAAGATCACTTCAGAGATATTAACCTTTCATCCTAGTGTCCCTTCTCTAAACCTTTTCCAATACACACTTGTTTTCCAAAATTTTTGGTCTTGGATATGAAGTACTCATTATACAGGATTATTTTTCAACAAAAAACTGATTTGTTTGTATGCAGATATTTGCTAATGATGATCAGTCAAAATATAATTGTGGAAAACGTTTTTGATTTTCGGGAACTTTTTGTGCTGGATCGTAAGATGATTTTACTATCCTATGCTGGAGTAGATTCATAATAATAGGTAAAGGGCATTTATCAAGTATTCAAACTCAACAATTGATCCAAGTCATTTTGTATAACCTTAAAATCCATAGTACAGCTAGAAAAACCCAAGATTGTAATATCGTCTATAAATATTATTGATTATGCCTTTGTTAACGTAATAGTATAGTTAAGAAAAAACAGACTTAAGCACTGAGCATACCACTAGTGACAGACGTCCACTGATTACTTTTTGTATTCTTTCCCCAACCACCTTTCAATCTAATTAACTCTTTCTTTTTTTTGCACATCACAAGCTTTTACTGAGTTACGTTAAAAATTTAATCAAAGTACATTATTATCATGGTATGCGAATATACTCGGCATGAAAGTGTAGCTAATAATCCAAATTTTAACACTATATAGGTTTTAAGTAATTAATTTTATGAGGTAGTATTGAAAAAATTCTCCTGGTATGAGAATGTGACATTTGTCTCTAGGTAATCCCTCTTCTCTAATTTATTTACCAATGCTACAAGAAAGTATGAAATTTAACAAGAATTACTCACCATAATATTGCTATTACTCAGGCAAAATATAACTTTTTAGCCTTCAATTTTATTTGGCTACAGAGCAATAAACTAGAAAATAAGACCCTTCTTGCCACACCCACCCATCACATCTCTTTCACAAATTGCAAATAGTTTTCTCTGATGTTTAATTATGTACTTATAACCAATAGAAAGCCAAGGTTTTAATCTATAAAATGACATTTTATACTACACTGTTTTCTATACAGAGAATTGTCTATTTTGTTTAAGTTTGAACTTTATTCCCAGGGAAACACAGCTCCTCTCTCACAATTAGAAAGACAGAAAAACTGGGATAGTTATGGGACATTGTCTGCTTCTTGTATATTATTCTGTATTCTTTGGTGCATTATTTAATTGAATAAAAATTATTTAGTGCACTAGTACCATTAGAAGAAAAAGGTATGGTTAAGTGTCATCAACAGTCGACAGCAAACAAAAAGATTAACCAGGTAAGTAATTTAGTTCTTGTTTTCCGTGTGTATTCTTTACTTATTGTTATATGTCCTCCAGTGGCACAGCGGTATGTCCGCGGACTTACAACGCTAGAATCCGGGTTTCGATACCTGTGGTGGGCAGAGCACAGATAGCCCATTGTGTAGCTTTGTGCTTAATTACAAACAAACAAACTTATTGTTATAAAAGTGACTAAAATGTAAAAATTAAAAACTTTGTAGGTTAGACTAGGGATAATATAGAATATTCATGAGAAATGCTCACGAGCATCTCTCGTAAGTAGCATGTGAGTTATGAAATTTGATAGGGTAACATGAACTACACATTTGCCAAGTTATTTACAACTTATGTGTCATGAATATTAAATAGACAAGGTTCAAATGGCAATAAAACAAAAGTATAAACAGATGAGTTTAAAAGCTGTTTAAGATAAAGAAATATAGCTTCATGTTACAATTTAAAGTCATTCTAAAAGAAAAAAAGGTTAACTTAGATTTAGTTTGATTTTTTTTGGCAATTACAAGTTATTAATCATTACAGACCATAAGTTAGGATTTCAAAGTTTTCTAAAGATATGGGGTATAATGGAATTTTCCGATGAGAATGCATACGACAGTTAGGTGGGATTTTATGTTTAAGATTAGCAGTGAATCAGTGTTTAAAGTGCTCCAAATTGTTCATAAACCTTCTCTAGAACTTAAAAGAGACATAGTACTGATCATTGTTTAGCTAGTTCATGTGTGGTGTAAAGTACGTCATTTAAACAACGAATACTAGTGAAGCTAACTATTACTGGGTTTAATGTTGTAACTGTCAACTGATTGTTGGCTGTTTACAGATGATGGCTTACAGGAAACAAACAGTAGCTGTTAAGATTAAATGAAAATTAGTTCTGTCAGGTTTTCTTTATTTTTTACAAACTCACTTTTTGGCCAATTTTTTTATAAATAATAGTAGTAGATAATGACATAACTTGGTGTTTTAAACTTTTTATGCCAACATGGTTTGTTTTAAATAGCCATATTTTCCCCTCATCTGATTTCATTTTTTTTCATCACTACTTTATCAAACATTTATGTACAACTGTAGTTATAGTTTAGGCCATTTTTATCATATAAACATGCCAAACTAAAAACAAATCAACATCAATTTTGTTGTTGTTTTTTTCCCCCAGTTAAGCTTGTTGTGATGCCTCTCATGGAAGTGATAAAACAAATTTGGCAACTTCAGAGTTATACTTATAAATGTAATTTACTAAGAATTTACAAAAAATACAAATACATTGTATTTGAGGTGACACAAGGCCTAATAAGTTATGAAGCTGAGGTGACACAAGGCCTAATAATTTATTAGGCTGAATTTCTAACATTGTGTATGATGATCTGTTCCCCGTAAACCAGTTATGTATGAATTGTATAGTATAGCACTTACCCTGACATACTTGCTTGTAGTTAGTAGTTATTATAGCTTCATTTTTTGTATCTTTTAAAAGTCGGTTTTATTAGAATTTTGATTTTTTTTTATCATATAAATATTAAAAGTTTATAATAAATTATTAAAGAAAAGTAAGTATTACCATGTACTCAATAAGTATTACCATGTACTCAATCATGTACTCAATAAGTATTACCATGTACTCAATCATGTACTCAATAAGTATTACCATGTACTCAATAAGTATTACCATGTATTCAATAAGTATTACCATGTACTCAATAAGTATTACCATGTACTCAATAAGTATTACCATGTACTCAATAAGTATTACCATGTACTCAATAAGTATTACCATGTACTCAATAAGTATTACCATGTACTCAATAAGTATTACCATGTACTCAATAAGTATTACCATGTATTCAATAAGTATTACCATGTACTCAATAAGTATTACCATGTACTCAATAAGTATTACCATGTACTCAATAAGATAACATAACCATTCAAATGTAAAAGTCACTGGCCACAGTATTTGTTGTTTTGACTTATGATCAACTGTTGCTTTATTCATGTTGATAAAATCAGCCCAGTATATGTGTGTGTGTGTGTGTGTGTTTAGAATCTCCCCCTTCATATGGTTTTCCGGTGTCTTATGAAAGTTCCTATGAAGCATTAACGAAAGTAGTTTGAACCATCTTTATATAATTTTATCCTTAATTAAAATGGGTCAATGAACTATTTATCAATTTAAATGGACATCATTTTTCTTGACAATAAAAACAAATCTCTATAATGTTTTGTCTGTGTGTTACTCGGTACTACAGATACATTTTTTTTATATACTGGACTAAGAACACTGTTGTTTGTTGCCAGATAACAAAGTTAATTGCTTACACCTTTTATGGTCTGTAATATGTTTTATCTTTCAACTTATAATCACTTCCTTCACAAAGTTAATTGCTTACACCTTTTATGGTTTGTAATATGTTTTATCTTTCAACTTATAATCACTTCCTTCATAAAGTTAATTGCTTACACCTTTTATGGTCTGTAATATGTTTTATCTTTCAACTTATAATTACTTCCTTCACAAAGTTAATTGCTTACACCTTTTATGGTCTGTAATATGTTTTATCTTTCAACTTATAATTACTTCCTTCACAGTATATTACTTCCTTCACAAAGTTAATTGCTTACACCTTTTATGGTCTGTAATATGTTTTTATCTTTCAACTTATAATTACTTCCTTCACAGTATATATTCTTTTTGCAGTGGACAACAAATCCTGGGACCGGGGAAAAGAAAATCAGGAAATGACTTTGTATCTGAAATATTTAAGGCTGCAAAAGAGTAAGTATTTGAAGATAATTTTTGACTTAGTGAATAACATTAATTCATTTCCATTTGAGCATATTTTTTAAAAATAAATTTATTGGGGTTGTTGATTTACAGTAAAAGTGTCATTAGGGGCTTTTGAAAATATTCTTTCTGGAAAACTGCCAAATAGTTGTTAAAAACAGTATGTATTAATTCTTAATTGTTAGTTCAACTCCTGTACAGTTACTTTCAACATATTCAAATACTTTATTGAATTTGCTCTCATGCTGTGAACAATCTTATGATTTTATGTTTTGAATGTTCTTGACACAATGCAGGGCACGCTTCATGAGAATGTATGCAAGCTCTCCTTTCCCACTATAATTCAGATTTTATTGTTCACAGTCTTGCTTCTAACTTTGCTCACTAATGAGTTCTAAAGACAGAATTAATGCAGCCACAAATGCCTTTACTAGTATTGGACATTCTTCAATTTTGAAGGCTTTACTTTTGCAGTCTGCCTTCAGCATGCAGTGATGTCTCATTTTCAGCCGTTATTAATTCTGAAGTATCTGTTGTGTGCATGATGGGTAATTGTTGAAAATCTTCTCATTTATTGTGATGATCAATAATACTGATTTTTTTTTTAAATGAGGCCTGTTTGCCTTCATTGTCTATAGAACAGGATTTGTCAACTAGCCCTAATCTTAAAAAATATGTTCCAATTTTTTGTAATTGTTTTTCCATGTATGTTCTGTTTGAAACCTTGAATCAATTTCTCTTACACCTGATATTTCTAGTATTATTTTGGATGAATCAGTTCTAGAATCTTTGTATTTTCTAACTTCTCAAATTCAGATCATTACAGATGCTTTTAAAAATCAACACATTGTTGACAACCTTAACACTTGTTGTGCTTGTAATGTAGGTGACCTTTTAGCAGGATCACCTTTAGCTACTATTCTTACTTCTCAAGTTCTTGACCCTCAGATGAGTGGAAATCAAGTCATGAATTTCACTTGTACAACAGTACATGCTGTAACTCTGAGATTTCTTAATGTTTCATTAAAGATCATAAGTATCTTGTACACAAATAATGACGGTTTTAAAAAATTAAGTGTTTTTACTAAAAATATTTTATTTTTCTATTGTAGTTACTCGCATTCAAACTATTAACAAATTGAGTGCAAACTGATTTTTATTTCAAGTATAAAAATACTTTGCTTCGTCTTATACTTTCATATTTCATTTAAATAATCTCTAGAACCTCCTAAAACGATATCAAATATTTTTATAATATATTTTTATATTCACTTTCTCTACCATATTTCTAACTAGCTATTATCATCAACATACAATTGCAATGAAATAATTACAATTAGGAAATAGAAAAGAAATATACATTTAATTTTTTTGTAGAATGTCTTTAAATATTTTTCTTGGGTAAATTTGTAATTTCAGGTCTTTTCATTTTCGTCCAGCATGGCCAGGTGGTTAGGGCGCTCGACTCACAATCTGCGGGTTGCAGGTTTGAATCCCCATCACACCAAACATGCTTGCCCTTTCAGCTGTGGGAGCATTATAATAAGACGGTTAATCCCACTATTTGTTGGTAAAAGAGTAGCCCAAGAGTTGGCGGTGGGTGGTGATGACTAGCTGCCTTCCCTCTAGTCTTACACTGCTAAATTAGGGACGGCTAGTGCAGATAGCCCTCGTGTAGCTTTGTGCGAAATTCAAAACAACCAACAAACAATCAACTTTTCCTTTTCACATAGAGTTAATTTTTAATGTTTTATTTTTCCTTTCTTGTCTTCTACAACTTATTATTATCTCAACACAAATCAAAGGTGCCCTCGAGGCATATTATAGTTTCTTTGTAAGATTTGCACAACCCTCTGGCAAAATGTTTGTTATACACGTAATATTGTTAACCTTGAGAACATATGCAAAGTAAAATGTATACTTAAAAAATGTTTGAACCTTTTAATTATGCATTTTAAAATATAACTAATTCATAATTAACTAAAATATAATAGTAAGACCTAAATACAATTTAAACAGTATCTCTAACTATAACATATTTATGTAAGAAACAACCATAAGTACTATAGTCGATCAAGTAGCCGGCAATACTTTAGTCAACTTCATATACTCTGTGACAAAGAATTGTCACCAATTTCTAAATAACTGTTGTTATTTGATACTGTAAAATAAGCTCTTTCTAATTGTTATATAAACATGTATGTAACCTCAAAATCTGTTGGAGGTGGATGTGGCAGCTGTCAGGAGTTGAAAAAATTTATTACTTGTTTCAGCTGTAATCATTCTATTATTTTCATGTAATGCTGTAGGTCACTGGTTAGGCCATATCTAGAGTATTGTTTCGGTCTTGGGCTCCTTACCTCAAGAAGGACATTGAATTGTTAGAAAGGGTTCATGGGAGGGCTACTACAATGGATTTAACAGTAGTTTTGATAACTGGTAGTTTGAACAATCAATATTCAGAAACACCAATTTATATTTAATTATGATTTCAATTATTGTATAGTAAGAATAACTGAAAACTAATAATTCCAAACAGTAGTTATTCTCGTTTAAATTTAACCTGACCCTAATCAATGCTGTAGGTATGGAAATCTAACTTTGAGCATGACAAATTTTTGGGTTTTTAATCAATGCTTATAGGTAACTGTAGGTATGGAAATCTAACTTTGAGCATGATATTTTTTTTGAAGCAGTTGAATGCAGTTAATTAATGAGCTCAGTAGTACTTAATCTATTAGCACATTCTACTAGTTACAAAGCTCTGATAAATACCTGATAAAGAATGGGGACTATGTGAATGGAACCATACCAAAAATTTGCCTGGCTAAAGTGTATGGACTGACATCTTTGTAAACTTACCTGTTTATTCTCTTGCTATGGGCTCAGTTGAATCGACCGAGTTTGTGACCCCCTAATTGATCTTTATAGGTTCCATACTATAACTTCTAATAAGTTTCGTGTATCTTCACAAAATTTTGCAAGTTTCAATAATCATTAAAGGTCATTTGTAGACAAGAAAATCAGAATTTTTAGGAATATGTGGAGTAAAACTGTTGACTGCTCTGAGTGCAAAGTGGTTTTCATAATTAGATTAAAAATAATTTTATTCATCTGAAAAAAAATCTCAAATTTCATTTACATAATCTCTAAAACCTCAAATAAATTAAAATTTTTTTTTTCTGTAAAATATTATGTTTTATCTGTTTTCCCTAACTGTATGAGGTTGGTAAATTTGACCAACTTTGTAACCACCAAAAAACAAAATTCAAAGTAAGTCTAAGTTACTGTTTTTTTCTTTCTAGAATGACTTTATATTGTAACATGAAACTACATTCGTTTATCCTAAATAGCTTTTAAACTAATAATAGTATATTATTCAAGTTTTGTGATATTGCCCTTTGAACTATGTGTAACTAATATTTGTGCCATATAAGTTGTAAATCACTTGGTGAATATGTAGCTCATGTTACCCTATCGAATTACATAATTTGCAGGCTACTCATGAGTTGCTTGTGAGCATATCTCGTGAAAGTTTTTAATTTTTACATTTTAGCTACTTTTTTAACACTAAGTAAAGAATACACATGGAAAACAAGAACAAGTGCTTTTTGACCATGCGACAGGAGCCGTTAAAAATTCAGCTAAGCTGATCATGTGTTTCCCTTGGGAATAAATTTTGAACTGGAAGCAAAATTCTGTGTATAGAAAACAATGTAAGATAATATGTCATTTCATTGATTAAAACCCTGGCTTTTTATTGGTTATAAATAATATAGAATTAAACATCAGAGAAATCTGTTGGCAATTTTTGAATGAGAAGATGAGGCAAGAATTCTGATATTCTGTTTTATGACTCTGTAACCAAATAACATTGACAGCTACAAAAATTATGCTTTGTCTTAGTGCTGACAACATTATAATGAGCAATTTACATTAAATTTCGTATTTCTTGGAGGGATGGTAAATAAGTTAGGGAACGGGAAATACGTAGAGAGAAAATGCTACAATTCTTGTACTTGGGGAATTTGAGAATTTTTTAATATTGCTTTATAAAATTATGAACTTAAGACTTAGGTAATATTAAACTTGGGATTATTAGTTATATATTTGTACCAATTTTTTTTGTATACCAAGATAAGAAAGTAGTTTAATTAAATTTTTAAATGTAACTCACTAAAACCTTGTGGGCACAGAAAAAGGTGCCCATAGTGAAAGTGTTAAAAAGCCCATGTAATACTCTATGCATCATTAATGATTAACTATCTAACTTAGACAAAAAGAGTAAATAAGAGCAAACTGGTAACATGAAGGTAAAAAAATTATTCAATTAGTTTAATCTCTAAGGGGATTATATAAACCCTAGGAAATTGATATTAGAATAGTTTAATCTCTAAGGGGATTACATATGCCCTAGGAAATTGATATTCGATTAGTTTAATCTCTAAGGGGATTACATATACCCTAGGAAATTGATATTCGATTAGTTTAATCTCTAAGGGGATTACATATACCCTAGGAAATTGATATTTGATTAGTTTAATCTCTAAGGGGATTACATATACTCTAGGAAATTGATATTCGATTAGTTTAATCTCTAAGGGGATTACATATACTCTAGGAAATTGATATTCGATTAGTTTAATCTCTAAGGGGATTACATATACCCTAGGAAATTGATATTCGATTAGTTTAATCTCTAAGGGGATTACATATACCCTAGGAAATTGATATTCGATTAGTTTAATCTCTAAGGGGATTACATATACCCTAGGAAATTGATATTCGATTAGTTTAATCTCTAAGGGGATTACATATACCCTAGGAAATTGATATTCGATTAGTTTAATCTCTAAGGGGATTATATATACCCTAGGAAATTGAGTAATAAAATATTTTATGATATCTAATAAGCTCATAACTAAAAGTTGAGTTGTGGTACCAATCAAATGCGGTATTAAAAAATTACAATATTTCAGACATGGTGCTGAAGTGGTAGAACCAGGTAGCTCATCTCATGAAAACAACAAAGTACCAGTCTTTAAAGGAACAGGATACAAACTTGGAGCCACTAATGATGATACAGAAGTTGTCCATAGTGGAGTGCTCCATAAACCCCGACCCCCAGTAGATGTGTGTCTTAGACTGTGGAAAAATGGTTTCAGTGTGGATGATGGACCCCTGCGGGAGTATACAGACCCTGCAAATAAGGAATTTTTTGAATCTGTTCGTAGAGGGTTAGTCATGTGTTTTTCTTTTTCACTTGTATGAATAATTGAAAGGAGTTGTCAGTCGTGTTAAGTCATTTGTAAGTGATTAATCTGTAGGGAATATTATATCCTTCCTGTTTTCAGAAACGTTTAGTTGATTAATATACAGAAGGATTGTTTTATCTGTATATGTGTACAGATTACTTTATTGTGATTTATGTTTAGAAGTATATGTTGGTAATGGTTTAAATTTGTACCAAGACACACCCACACACATATATATGTATATCTACAGTGTATGTTGTAATGATTTTTCTTTGTTTTAAAAATAGATCCAGGATACACGTGTTCTTGCATATTTTTCAGTGTTCCCATGGTAACAAGGACCTTTCCATTAGACAGTCAAAAACACTTACACAATCACGCACATATTCTGTAATTACTGAAAAAAATTTCCATGTACTTTTACCATTAGAACAACTTTCAAAATAAATCTGATAGTTTCACAATTTTTGATATTAATACGTACAGTATATTATATAAAGTTTCTGTTCTTGTAAGCATGTTATTACTGCTGTGTATAAGAATATCTGGTTGATCTTTAATTAACCTTATTTGATTTGTATTGTCGTAATGTTCCGGCAGTCTCAGATATAATTTTTTTTAACAGCTCAACTTTTGTTGTAGCAGTTTCTGATATATCGGGCTTGAATCTGTTACAAAAAAATTCAAAATGCTTGTCCTATTATCTGAAAATATTATTAATAAAGAGGCTTTTTTTGCTTAATCTTTTGAAAGGGATGTTTGTGTTGCTCAACCTATATTTCATGCTGTCTGATGCCCAAATATTTTATCAAGTAAGGTTACCACTAGACTAGTAATTTATAGATTCATATTAAGTTAATCATTATTATACTAATGATGTAAAAAGCATTGATGTAACTCTTCCTTGACACTTTCACGGTGGGCTCGTACAGTTTGTGGAAATCAAGATGAGAATTTCACTTGTAGAACGATACATGCAGGAACTCTGAGATTTCTTAACGTCTCCTCTTAAAAACTGGTAAAATGGTTCATATTAAATCAAACATTTATTATACTACTTTCTGCGGATGGAGTCCAGGTTTTGGGGTCAGAAGTGGTTTTTGTCTAGGAATGAGCCATTGTTTTTGGTATTTAATATTCGCATATAGAATCCATTTTTCATCATTGGTGACAATTCTGTCCAAAAATGGTTCATGCGCTAGAAGAGAAGAAGCAACGTTCACACGTTGGAAACGATGATCATCGGAGAGTTCGTGAGGCACCCAAACACCCTTTTTATGGAGTTTTCCTATATTCCTTAGATATTTATGTATTGTTTCATGAGAAACATGCAATTTCAGGGCCATTTTATGAGTGTGTTGCCTTGAGTTAGACTCAACAAGTGTCTTTAGGGCATTAATATCAATTCCAACATGTCAGCCCCTACCATCACAGTTTTTAAGGCTAAAATCACCTGAACAAAATTTGCTGAACCATCGTTGATACTTACAAACGTTCAAAACATTTCCATAAACTTCTTTGATATTCTTTGTTGCTATAGAGGCATTGTTTCCCTTCTTGTATTCAAACAGCATTACATGCCGAATGTGTATCTCGTCATGTTCCATCACTATAAGGGATTCGAGTAT